CGAGTGCTAAATCATCAATCAATAAAAAAATATTAAGAGATTGAGAAACAATTTGATGATATAGAATGCTAAATCTTTTGTATCATTTGTTTCATATTTTAGATTAAAACGATTTGCGAGACACGAGTCGGATCGCGGTTGATGCTATGGCCATGAGAGAAGCATTACCACACTCATCAACGAGAAACCTCTTTGGCTTCACAATGGCTTTGGAATCTCATATCCTGATCAACCTAATCAAAGTTGAAAGTTTCCATCTGAAAATCTATAGAATCGCACAAGACATCAGCAAATTGACAAAGAAATTCAAAGCATTGTGTGTTTTCATCACTAGATCTGGTAATATAACCGATGATGTAATCGCGCAATTGGCTTTAGCTTTTGTACCAACAACAACCGGTTTAATGAAATCAAAGCTATTTTAACCCCAAACAAAAAAAAAGAAGATTAAAACGATTTGATGTTTGAGAATTTTTAAAAAATCTTGAGTCCAATAAAATATACAAGACACAATTGAACTAAAATCTAATAACCCAAAATTAACTCTAATGAATCGAGTTCCAACTGAACCAATAATTTCAGATAGAATTCTGCTAGAATTTTACTAAGATCAAACTAACAGAACTTGAATAAGTAAACTATAGTCATCTTTTCTTCGTCTTTTTTTTGCTAAAAAAACAAAAAAACTATAGTCATCTTGAAGGGGAAGAAATATCCTATGTCAACTTACGAAACAAAGAAAACACCTTATTGGCTTACACTTCCATATATCTAAAGAGACACAAAATACATACATATTTGATAGATACAGTCTTACAGATAGATATTTATACGACAAACGTACTATTTCCCCCCATGAACTATCATATCACACCCGATCCACCCAGAAACTTTTCCTCGTACCGTTTCCCCCTATTTTCAAATTGATATCTCTATTTCCCCCCAAGTGTCGGTTTATCGGTTTAAATGGTAACCATTGCAGAAATTTGTTTAACCGGTAAGTAAACCAATTTGAAACCGATTGAAAATTAAACCAGACCCATGTTTGAACCAGACCCTTCTGAAAACTCGACTCGAGTCAGTTTTTGTTACGACAACAAAATCCCTCTTTTCACTAAGATTCCTAAATCGAGAAGACCAAAATCGAAGCTTCTCACAGTTTGGTAAGTTCGTAATGCGAGCATATAATTGTTCTATTCGTAATTGTTGTTGGGTATAATGAGGTGTATGAGTTTCGATTGCGATGACGAAG